GATGAAGACATTATGGATGATGAATGATCCAGTTGCGAATAAGACATTATGGATGATGACTGATCCAGTTGCGATGAAGACATTATGGATGATGACTGATCAAGTTGCGATGAAGACATTATGGATGATGACTGATCCAGTTGCGATGAAGACATTATGGATGATGACTGATCCAGTTGCGATGAAGACATTATGGATGATGACTGATCAGTTGCGATGAAGACATTATGGATGATGACTGATCCAGTTGCGATGAAGACATTATGGATGATGACTGATCCAGTTGCGATGAAGACATTATGGATGATGACTGATCCAGTTGCGATGAAGACATTATGGATGATGACTGATCCAGTTGCGATGAAGACATTATGGATGATGACTGATCCAGTTGCGATGAAGACATTATGGATGATGACTGATCCAGTTGCGATGAAGACATTATGGATGATGACTGATCCAGTTGCGATGAAGACATTATGGATGATGACTGATCCAGTTGCGATGAAGACATTATGGATGATGACTGATCCAGTTGCGATGAAGACATTATGGATGATGACTGATCCAGATGCGATGAAGACATTATGGATGATGACTGATCCAGTTGCGATGAAGACATTATGGATGATGACTGATCCAGTTGCGATGAAGACATTATGGATGATGACTGATCCAGTTGCGATGAAGACATTATGGATGATGACTGATCCAGTTGCGATGAAGACATTATGGATGATGACTGATCCAGTTGCGATGAAGAAATTATGGATGATGACTGATCCAGATGCGATGAAGACATTATGGATGATGACTGATCCAGTTGCGATGAAGACATTATGGATGATGACTGATCAAGTTGCGATGAAGAAATTATGGATGATGACTGATCCAGATGCGATGAAGACATTATGGATGATGACTGATCAAGTTGCGAATAAGACATTATGGATGATGACTGATCCAGTTGCGATGAAGACATTATGGATGATGACTGATCCAGTTGCGATGAAGACATTATGGATGATGACTGATCCAGTTGCGATGAAGACATTATGGATGATGACTGATCCAGTTGCGATGAAGACATTATAGATGATGACTGATTCAGTTGCGATGAAGACATTATGGATGATGACTGATCCAGTTGCGATGAAGACATTATGGATGATGACTGATCCAGTTGCGATGAAGACATTATGGATGATGACTGATCCAGTTGCGATGAAGACATTATGGATGATGACTGATCCAGTTGCGATGAAGACATTATGGATGATGACTGATCCAGTTGCGATGAAGACATGATGGATGATGACTGATCCAGTTGCGATGAAGACATTATGGATGATGACTGATCCAGTTGCGATGAAGACATTATGATGGAAATGGTCGAGATAGATAATACCTTTGATGAAGCCGTTGTGGATGAAAAT